GATGGAACATTCTTGAATATGCCATACCATAGATAGGACAGTCTCTACCGGGGCGGTGGGAGGCAGAGGGTGGGGTAATTAGAGGAGGTGGATGTGTGTGTGTGTGTGTGTGTGTGTGTGTGTGTGTGTGTGTGTGTGTGTGTGTGTGTGTGTGTGTGTGTGTGTATGTCAGGGTACCAAAATAGCCTGCAGGAGAGAAATATAATCTGTTATTTTACTTCAGAGTTCAGTGAGCATTGGGGGTGGTACCGCAGATCCAAACTGCTGCTGGAGAGGCAAAATAAAGTGTGAGAGATACTCACACACACAGGGGGAGCCAGCACTGAGCATTCCTGGCATTACAGCCCGCTGACAAACAATCCTAACTTTATCCAGTGAGCCTCGCCAACTGAATGGCTGCAGTGTGTAGAGTTTACCCGCTGAAGGGGGCAGTGCCCGGCCCAATCCTCCACTCTGTCCCCATCCAAACAGTCCGCCCAGTGCATGGCACCTTAAAATCTTTGGTGTTTGCAAGTTATTCTTTTTGTGTTTTTCATTTGATTGTTTTTCTCATTATTGAAGTAGCAGATGGCCTTTTCATACTCCTTAGAAAATACACCAAAACATGTTCATAAATTCAGCTAGAAATACATGCAAGCACACATTTCTGCTTCTATAAATGTAAAAAGTGATGTCAGCTGTGATTTAGAAATATTCAAAAAGCAAAATATAGCATAGCTTTATATTGCCTTGTTCAACAATAAAACACATTTTATTGAGAACACAAAAGCTCGACACCCTTCACTCTGTGGGAAAGATCAAACTATTGCCTGTTATTCTAACATCACTCACACAGACACACATATACAAACTCTACATAACGGCCATGCAACAGGACTTATTGTGTTGTCTCATTTCAGAACTAAAGTGAGGAATTTTGAGATTAAAAGTGAGGCTAACAATGAGAATATTGCATGTGTTTACTTCTGTGTGAAATTTAAGACCCATTGTTTAAAGAAATCTTGAGAATTTGGGATCCTAAATCCTCCATTGTTATCATAAATGTAAATATATAAACTGCAATAAGTGATCTGCCTAAACTCAACGTTTTTGGAGAACTTCTCATCCATGTGGACGTAAAAGCTGAGATTAAAAGTTTATCCGCGGACCTTGTGGAGACATTGTTTTAGGCAAAAGTAACTTAGTATTTCCCTTCCAGAATATATCAAGGAAAGTGATCTGTTTTTAAGAGGTGGGCTAATATTATGCATGGGAAATCCCCCTGTCTCACAAGTTGGACGTCATGTGGATCCCATCACCACGGCCGGGCCCCTTTCACTGATGTTCCACTTTCTACATTCCTGGAGCAGGACAGGAAGTGTCATATTGAGAGAAGGGCTCGATTGGTGGAGAGAGGATTGTTGAAGATCTCCACGTAGGGCTTTCATGAGATTGGTGTTGTTGGTGGCTCATGAATATAAGCATACTTATGTGAAAGGACTTTAGTCCAGTCTGCTGGGTTTGTTTACTCAGGGCTCAGTAATAGTTACTGTTCTGCATTTCAAGCTTTCAACAGGCTGGCTGCTCAACCCCCAAAATCTGCCTCCTGCTGCGAGTGACTGGGGTTATATTGGCTACCAACTCACTAAGCACATCAACTCAATCTGGTTATAATAACCACATGGCTTTGTGTCGATATTAATCTTAGTTAAACCATTAAACACTTCATGTATTGATGTTGCTCCAAGGTCATCTGAGAACTTTTGAAGGTCGCAATTTTCCCTTCAAACTGCATTTCCTCTCTATCTGCCACTGAGATCAGATGTAAACTGAGACCTCATCAAAACACATGAATCAAGATTTGCTTTGCCAGCGCATTTCACTTGTGAATCATAGGCTTTTAGCTTCAACAATGTTCCAAATATTTACTATCAGGGAATCTTCTCAAAGATCATGGCAGCCTCAACAAAACTTGTTCCCCCCCCGCTATTTTTCAGATCTCAACCACACACAAAACGTCAGAGAGCTGTCATAAAAGATGCAAGGCCCTCAGTGTTTTCAGATTTTGAAACATTGTATGCATAGCTGACAGACTATCTGTTATGTGCACCATATTTATTTATTAAATTAGAACTTAGAGATGAATCCATGTTTACAAGTGGCCATAAATGACACAATTGGCAGTCAACATCAAGAGAATAATTAATTCCAGGTGCTTTTCGATAATCACATGATTCACTTGAATCAAATTTAAACAGAAATAATAGGATAACTGATCCAAACCAAATGTTTATCCTTGGGGAATACTTTATCTCTGATTGCATGAAATAGTTAAATCCCAAGTTGAAGACTTTTCCGGTTCGTAGCACGAACACAATGAATGTCACCCCAATGCAGTTCCAAGCATTAAAAAATGCTTGTTAAACTTACATGCACGTAAATACCATGGTGTTCAAGCTGTTCTGTTGATAATTTTAATTATTGTATACTGTCAGTCAGTTTTTATAGTGAGGTATAAAACGTCACTTTTTCATTTTCTCATAAAATCTTTTTCTCTGTCTACCAAAAGTTTTAATGTTTATTGTTAATAGACATGTCACAGGCAGCAGGAATAATGATACAAACTAAAAGTTCCTTCATGTGATGAA